TCAGTTCTCACAATTCCCTCTAACTCATGGCAGCTTCATGTAATCAGCCCTTAATGCCATCACTGGTACAGATTGTACATATTGCCTACACTAGGGCTTGGGAGAATATAATTTTTGGTTTATTAAGGATGTTAGGAAGAACACATGTATCTGATAGGTTATTTTAAAAACCACAAGCTGTGTGAAGCTGTTCAAATGTTAGGAAAATTAGCAATAGACTTGGTATGGCTGCATCAGAAGACAGATAAGGCAGTAAAAAGTACATAAGTCATAGTATCCAATGATCAATTTTATGTTTAAGATGGCTATCATCACACAGATCACACTACCAGATGTGACCAACCATATCTAAAGCTTGAAATTATTTAATTTTTAAATAAACTGTAGCAAGTAGTCCATCCTACATTCAAGTTATGTTTTCTGTAAGTAAAGCTCCTTCACTGTACTTGTGATGTTTGTTTTAATATTACTCAAATGTACAATTAAATGTACATAAGTTTTGATTTGATGTTGTACAATTTTTGTACATTTGTACAATAGATTATTCATCTTCTGCTAGTCTTGCCTCTGCAGCCGAGCCAATACACCAAAGTTTGTTGAAGGGGGATCCACATAAACCCAATTTCCATTGCCCCATGCTGTTATACTTCCACTTGTTAAGCACCTGTACAGTGGTGTGGCTTAACATTACATAGGGGAGAGGGCCCCAGCATAGAACTCTCTCTCCCTATAACAACTCGCCTTGGTTGTCTCTCTGTCCAGTGAAACTGCCTCAGTGCTACTGCTTTTAGAACTTTGTGCACCGAGAGATGAGACAGGATGCAACTAATTTTGTTGTTCATCTCTGACCCAGAATAGAATTCAGCTCACTTCTGGACCTGTGTTAGCGCTGCAGTGCTGGAAGACAAAAGTACCATAAAAGCTTAGTCAATAAAGTAAACAAAACGCACACACAGCATCTGTTGATTAAGTGGCCATTGCCACTTCTCTGACTACAAGTGGACCTTAACAGACCAACTTTTAAACTTACTGCCATACCTTTTTCCTCCACTGAGTTATGCCAGGAACATTCAGCAATGATGGCTATGTTCAGTGTGGGTGGATGGTCCATTTACTTGACAGGTCTCTACCCAGCACTGAAATCCTAAATTTTTAACAACTAGATAGATCTCGCAAACAGATGAATTTTGGAACCCCATCTCAACTTTACTCCCCACTCCCTTTAAAGGGACACTTGTTAAAAATTGTCAAAAGCAAAAGGAATGATTCACAGGAGATAGTAAAGCAATATTGAAAGTAAAACTGTTACTATTTAGCTAGCTGAACTACACTAGCACTCAAGTCAGCCTTGGCAGCCTTTGCATATTGTAGTCATTACACATTCAGTATTATACTTCATTTCAGAATCTTAAGGCAACATTATGGAACTTTAGTTTTTGCATTCAAATTCAATGTTACATTACAACTAAAGTTGTGCAAGTGGTTCCGTTTAGAGGTAATCGAGTTTTGCACATAAACAATGAAGAATTTACAGTAAGTCATTTTTTTAATTTGACACGGTTTCAAAGTGATTTGAAGATCAACGAACATGTACTATTATGCATATAGAAGTATCTTCTTTAATGAAGGCACTTTTACAAAATCTGACATGCACCATCTACCACTTGAGCTTTCTCCATTCCTAGAAATGTGATTTTTTTTTTTTAACGTATTAACAAACCTGTAACAAGCACTTCTGTCCGAACACGAGACATTCAAATATACTTTTAAGGGGGATTCCAGCTTAAGTTTTTTGAAAAATTCACTGTTCATTTTATCCCAGAAAAGCAGTATTAAAAGGAACTACTTTATTCACCATGTAAAACGTCATGCATACACATTCCATTGGAGTGACAGAAAACAGAGCTTTACTCAACTTCCATAACAGCCTTGAATTGAAAGCGTTACTCAGCAATGAATGTCTTCTGCTGAGATATACTGTGTCAGTTTAATGCTATGCCAAGCTTGAAAAGAATCTGCTACACATATGACAAGTGACTAGGTCGCAAATAACTCTGCTCCCTCTTTCTACTGGTTTCTTATAAGATTACCTTGAGAAAGTGTCAAAGCCTCACATTTGGTACTGAAGTTAATTTCAAGTTTCACTCTTCCTGAACTGTATTTTGGATACTGAATAGAGAGCCTAATTCTGACATGAGAGAATGAAAAGTTGCCTATGGAACACTGACGATTTATATTTGATGATAAGCTTAAAAAGAACAACTAATTTTTGTAATGTAACTTATTTGCAATATTCTTTGCACCTTTTCTTTTCCCACTAGGACTGCACTGATTTCCTGACACACCTATTTAAAATAGAGACTAAGTAGTGACATCTGATTTACTCACCAAACTTAAATTTATAATGTCTTATGCCTATTTATTATTTGTGTACCAGCATCAGTAGTATCATAGCTCTAGAAATAGCTTTGTCTGTGCCACCCAGCAGAAGGAGGCAAGACATAAATGCAGTAAGTCCTACAAAAATAATGGCTAGTTTGTTCAAATTAAAAAATTCACAATAGAAATTTCTTCTCACCATAAAATTCTAAAAGATGTAATAAGTAATGTGTATCTGACTCTAGAGGTTTTGACTGTCCCTTTAGCACTGAAAAGCTGGAAATGCAGTTTTTAAACAAGTGAACCTGTTCACTTTACAAAAATGCAAATATTGCAAATAGGGAAAATATACTTCCTGGAAGGAGAGTCAACATGACAAAACAGAGATACTGTTTACAAGTATATAATTAGCTCAACTGAGCAGGAATATCATACAGCAGATTTTGGGTAGCCTTATCTTTGTCACAAAAATTGCTCACCAGTCAAAATGGCAGCAGTGCTTAAATAACCTTAAATTTCTTCTTTATAACATTGCAAATGCAGTGAAGAAAAGTGACTATTCAACATTAAACATAAAAACCATTTAAAAAACACATCAGAATTTTATTGCTTGAAGAATACAGCATATGAAAAAAGCACAGGAACGTCCAAAGAAAAGGTCACAAGGAACCAAACATACTATCCCATACATACCAGATGCAGTAAAATGTTAACCTGAATTCTGCATCAGAAAAAACAAGTGTGAAATACCTAATTTTGTTTACTTAAAAGAAAAAGACTCATTTAAAATAGAAAGTGTAAGGTGATACAGTACAAATTAGAAAAGCCAACACTGCACATTAACATTGTTTCACTAGACTAGATTTACTACCTTTGGTACTTAAGTCTTTACAGAAAACCACTTCCTTAGTCAAATCTTGTCCAACATATTTCATGAAAGTTTTTCAACTTAACATTCAACAAACTAATCTTTACTTTTTGAGCCATCACTGCACGGATGCATTTAGAAAATGTGCAAGTTTATTCAATATGTAACCTAATGACTCTAAAATTGAAATCAAAAGCCACTGGGTGATCCTTGCAGATCTGAATATATGCCAACTGTACTTGTTCAGATCTCTGCTTAAAATGGGCACACTGTTTTCTGTTTATTTCGCTATGTAAACAGATTGCTGCACCCACAGCTTTTAGTCAAAAATTTTTACTAGAGAAACTTGTCAAGAGCATACTAAAAGAAAAGAGAGTGCATTCTTACACAGCTATCTGATCTAATCGTTTTCACTAGTATGCAAGTGGCTTTTCCATTCTGCTGGAAACAAGAGTACCAGAACATAGGCCAATATTTCTTCATTCAACATTAAAATTCTATAATGGACACAACTGTGGTCTATTTCTACACAAAGAACAGCTGCCCATCCATTTATATAAACAGAATTTTCAAAGTCAACCTGTCAAAAAGACTCCTTTCTCATTCCTGATCCTTATCGTGCTGATTACTCTTGGGGCATACTTTCCTAACTAAACTTGGACAATCATTTGCACCTACTAACCTGTTTGAATGAAGAAAATGTTATTGTTTCACAAGGTAGCTGAGGAATCCGTTGGTAACCTAGTCTGGAAAATGTTAACATTATGCTGACAACAATAACTAACTAATCAGGGTTAAATAAAAATCCCTCTTTTACTGAAACCAGGTTCATTAGCTTCAACTTTTGCCTTTGTAGGCTTGAACATTTAATAATTCCCAGTTAAGTCAATGGAACTAACACAATTCTGGTTCACCAAGTTCCAGCTTTACATGTGAACAATATGAACATGTCCGGACTACGCAAGTAATACCATCAATAACAGTTAACATTAAATTGGAGTGAAATAATAAGAATTATTAGTTCTCTACACTGGTCAGTCTTTGAAATGAAATATCCATTGGTTCAGGACTCTTCATAGATATAATAAAATCATGGGTTTATTATTTCACCCCTATACAAAAAAAAAGACAGAATTTCTACAACTCCTATTAAACATACCTTTTCCTAGCTTAGTGAAAATGTATCTTTTCAAATTTGTAACAAATGTGGTATTTGAGCACATATAATATTTATTGCCATATATATATATCCTCATTTTTAAAAGGACAAAGAATTCAGACTTTACTATGCTGACCTCTTTGCTTGTTTCCATTATGCAGATTAAGTGTCTACTGAACCACTCCCACCCCCCCAAAAAAGAAAAACAATTAAAAATTCTCTATGTAAGATTTTATAGTTTAGTTAAAAGGGAAGAGAAATGCAAATGTGGATTTAGAGCTTCTGTATAAATCTCACTATTTTATAAACTTGTTGTTTATTTTAACACTGTTTATTGATCAAATAAATGACGCACTGCTATCTAAAATTTCCATATACACCATTAAAAATCCAAAGTTGATATGATATTGAACCTTAAATCTTTAAGAGTTCAAAAAAAGACAGTTTTTACATGTACAGCACACAACAGCAGACATCCCTAGAATACCATGGCCAGTCCAAGATGCATACAAAATTACAGGTAAGCATTCATTTCACTGTTTTCATTGTGCAGGAAAGATATTTCTCAGTGGGAAGAGAAACTCAGGTGGTGAATTTCAGATATCATCTTCATCATCTTCATCCTGAGAGGATCCTGCCTGATTGGATGCACTGGCTGACGCAGCAGCAAGCTGTGCTTGTTGGGCTGCTTGTTGCATCTGTAGCCATTCCTGCTGGGCCAGTTCTGCTTGCTGCTGTCTAGCCTGAAGACAAACAAAAATTAAATTGTTAACAAAACCCAAGACTTCCAATATCCTTTTAAGGAATTAGTATAGCACACGGGCAACGATTACATTATTGGTATAGCAGAAACTGCAGGTGCAAAGTACAAGATTTATACCTAAAAATAATCACTGTACATAAAGGGTGTTCAAAATACTGCAATGCTTTGCATTGATATTAACATTTTTTCTTCACGTTGGCATAACCTATTTTTATGGTATGCTGTACAACCATCATTTGGAGCATTTATGCTCAGAAAACCAAAGAGGTTGGGGTAAATAAAAATGTACTTGAAAAAAACCAAAATTTTGGGGGTTGCACAGGATCAGAGAGGCACCACTTTCAAATGAAAAATTAACCAGGAATGTTGCAGAGTGGCTAGAATTAGCATTAACAAGTCCTTCCACCACTTATCCACACTGCCTAGGAAATACTGACCAGGAAGTCCAGGCTTTACTTTAAGCAAGACATTATTAAAATGGTAGTTCTAACTAAGAAATCTTAGACCTTAAATGCAGTGCACATGGATTAGGATGATGCTGACTAATACTTCACATGTTTAGAAACCAATTCACTCTGAACATATGTTTGTTACGTGTGTCCTAAACAAAGCATGAAATTAAATTAAAAGGAAAAATGGAGGGTGAGGAAAGTGAAACATGCACAATATGTTATAGTTTGAAAGTGTCAGAACTAGCGAAGTAATGTAACAATATTCTTATTTAACAAGAGCCTAACCTTTGCAGCTGAACCTAAATTCAGCCCTATCATCCTCCATCTCCCAACACCGTTTTTGCTTCTTTCTGAAATAAGAGTATTAAAGATTTCCCCATCTCCAAAAGATTGCTTGGTTTTGTTACATAAATATCAGGAATGTTAAGTCTAGTTTTGCTAGATGAATTTTCAAGATTCTCAGAAGTTTATTGTGAGTTAACTTTCCTCAATTCAAGGAGAAGGGATGTTTGACATCCCTTGATGTTTGACAGGAAGTCTTTGTTAAATGATTGTTAGGTACTGAAGCTGAGAGTATAAAAAGTGCAAACAAAGTAAAAAGTTTTATTAGAAGTCCCTTCTCCTCTCAACTGTCAGCTTTCACTTGCTTGTGATGTCATATTTTTTCTAGTACTTTAGTCACTATAGTCGCCTCCAAAAATAATTGGTCAACTGACCAAACATTGGCCAAATATTTTAAAGCACTAATTTATTAGAACAGTAATAACAGTAAGAAAAAAGAGTAAGCCTTTATGGTCTCCAATCAGGTTAACCTTAGATAGACACTTATGCCTAATTACAACAACAACAAAAGTTCTTAACTGAGATATTTTAACTCAGAAAAATGTGGAACGCAAATAAATGAAATTCTAAAAAATGAAAGAATGGTACAATCAAAAAGGTAGGCCACTGCCTAAATCAGGGTATGCTTGCAGGAATATTTGAGACGATTTGACAGTTGTCATACAGGTGATTACTTGAACAGCTTGCCAAGTCCACTTAAAACCTGAATTTGCACTGTAAAAAAAAAAAACAGCAGAAAAAAATCTTTTGAAACAAAAATCAGGTCTTCTTTATAGATAAAGCAAAATAGAGCAAAAGCCCATTTCCCCCCTCTATATAGGACACTTTTAAAGTTAAGTTCACATTTCCATTCAAATCCCCTTTTCATTTTGAATTTTCCATAACTGGCCTATCAGGCAGAAATTTTCTGAACCTACTGTCTACCTAAGGATAATATTTTGGAACATTTCAGTCAGTCAATAAGAGTACAAAAAGATACTGGCCCTATTCCAAGAGTTGTGACAATTCTCTGAAAAGCTCTAGCACAAATGTGCTGGATTTAAAAAAAGCTGACATCTGCAAAGGAAATAACCCTCACTGAAAAGAGGCTTTAAATGTTTCAGTTAAAATTATTCATATGCAGTCACTAGGGTTTAAAGAGAATCAATTTATTCACAGTCGATACTTTGGTACACTTTTAGCCATTTTAACCAAAGTTCTAAACAAATGAAAGCAACACCTGAACACATTAGTAGTGGACATGCATGTCTAAGATACACATTCAATGTGGCAGGGCTCCATAAGAGTCAGTGGCTCATCAATTATGGATTATCAATAGGACTAATCACATGCATAAGTATTTGCAGGACTGGAGTGCAAATACAGCACTTGTTCCAACAATACATACACAATACATACACAAACTACTTTGATATATTGTTGAATAAAATAAAATGCATTGTTTTAGAATCTGATCAGAGATTTTTGTACAATATCAAATGAGGACCATTTTAAGTTTCATTTATTGATCGAATACACAGACTAGTGCAACTTGAATGCACTAACAATTTTATAATGCATTTTTTATTAATCTCTAATAATTAAAAAATTAAATGCATACCTTCAGAGGACAGTGTCTACTAGATTAAACAATTTTAAAGTAGGTCAAAAATCAGGTCTAAATTGATAATACCTCTTTAAATGAAATGTCAATTAATTATTTTAATTCCTCATTGTTTATATTACTCTCTCAGGAGTGTAAGAATATCCCTATCCCACCCATCCTCTACTCCTTTTGACCTGTGTAGAGTGTAGTTTTATTTAAGTTATCCACATTAAACTTCATTGCATTAAGCTTAAAAGAAAATAAAAACTTAAACTAACCAGTTTGTTATAAAACCAAACACTGCTTCTGCAGCAGCCACATTGGCTTTTTTACTCTTAGCATGAAGGGGGAAAAAAAGTATCTATACGTTAATTTGTCACAGGACTATACCATTACATGTGTTAGCCGTGTGATAAATTTCCAAAGCTGGTGAAAACTTCAACTGTCTCATCATCATCATCTATTTAGCTATAATGTACTTGGCACTTTACAACATACAAAAATAAAGTTTATCTGGGTTTTGGCATTACGTGAGTTTCAGTAAGGCCAGTGAGGAGAAGGTTGCAACTAAGATGTGAGATCACAAGGACCTGAATAAGCATTTTCACCATGGGAACAGAAAGAAAGGAAAGGATGCAGAGGACAAAAAAAGCAATATGATTTGCATATGGCCAGGATATAAGTGGTGTAAGAGGGAGGTGTTGTAGATGATTGCCACATTACGAGTCTGGCAGAATAGCGGTGGTATCAATAGTAACAGAATGGGAGAAGAGAAGACTGTTTAGGAAGATACATAATCAAATTTAGTCTTAGCCAGTTACACTTGAATTATCTGCAAACCATCTCAGAGGAAGTGCTGGAAAGAAAGGCTGAGTTGCAGGACCCTGTCTCACATTAGGTCAGGCATGGAGAAATATATTTGAATTATCATCATCTTAGAGTTCATAGTAAATCAACATGATTATACAGTGTCACTCAAGGGTAAAGGGAAAACAGCTGGGGAGACACGTTAGAGATTTAGCATTGTTGTGACAAACAAACTACTAGAGAGATGGAAATTACCCTTTTCCCCCATGAAGTGATGGAGCCAAAACCAAGAAAGACATTTAAACTGAAATGATTAAGACACAAAATGAGTTACACCTAGCAAGGGACATAAAAGGCAATAAAAAGAGGTACTACAAATACATAGGGAGAAAGAGATGAAGGAAGATGTAGGTTCTCCCTTAGTGGAGAAGAAGAGCTAATAACAGATGACATCAAGGAGGCTGGGGTGTTCCCTATTTTGCTTCAGTCTTGGCTAAAATATTAAGTTGTGACTAGAAAATTAATATTAACAAGAATGGGGAAGGAACAAGCTAGAACAAGGAAAGAACAGGTTAAAATAGTTAGATAAGTTAAATATTTTTAAGTTGGCAGCAGCCAATGAAACTCACCTGAGGGTATCTAAAAACTAGCTGAAAATCTCAACCATTAGCAATTATTTGTGAGAACTCATGGAAGATGGTGAGGTTCCAGAGGACTGGAGAAGGAAAAACATAGTTCCTATCTTTAAAATGAGGAACAAAGAGGACATGGGGAATTATAGACCAGTCAGCCTAACTTTGAGACCTGGGAGATACTGGAACAAATTATTAAACTATAATTTGCAAGCATGTAAAGGATAAAATTATAAGTAAAACTGAACATGAATTTGTCATGAACAAATCATGACAAATCAACCTAATTTCCTTCTTTTATGGGATTACTGGCCTAATGAATGGGTGGAATCCGTAGATGTGACATATCTTGATTTTAGTAAGGCTTTTGACACAGTCCACCTGACATTCTTATAAGCAAACTAGCAAAATGTGGTCTAAATGCAATTATTATAAGGTGTGTGAACAACTGGTTGAAAGACCCTACTCAAAGAGTAATTGTCAACGATTTGCTATCAGACTGGGGGGACATTTCTAGTGGGGTCTCACAGGGGTTTGTCCCAGGTCTTGTACTATTCAACATTTTCACGGACTGGAGAGTATGCTTATAAAATGTGCAGAGCACACTAAACTGGTAGGGGTTGCTAGCACTTTGGAGGACAGGATTAGAATACAGAACAATCTTGATAAATTGAAGAATTGGTCTGAAATCAACAAGATAAAATTCAATAAAGATAAGTGGAAAGTACTACACCTAGGAAGGAAAAAAGCAAACGCACAACTACAAAATGGGAAATAACTGGCTAGGTGGTAGCACTGTTGAAAAGGATCTGGGGGTTATAATGGATCACAAATTAAACATGAGTCAACAACGTGATGCAGTTGCAAAAAAAGTATATTAACAGAGTGTCATATACAAAAGACAGAAGGTAACTGCCCTGTTCTACTTAGCACTAGGGAGGCCTCAGCTGGAGTATTCTGTCCAGTTCTGGGTGCAATGCTTTAGGAAAGAAATGGATAAACTGGAGAGAGTCCAGAGTAGAGCAACAAAAGTGATAGCAGGTTTAAGACCTATGAGGAAAGGTAAAAAAAAATTGGGCATGTTTAGTCTTCAGAAAAGACAACTCAGAGGGGACCTAATAACAGTCTTCAAATATGTTAAGGGCTATTATAAAAGTTGGTCTAAAGGTTGGACAAGAAGTAACGGACTAATCTGCAGCAAAGGATATTTAGGTTAGATATTAAGAAAAACTTTCTAATTATAAGGGTAGTTAAGTTCTGGAATACGTTTCTAAGAGAGGTTGTGGAATCCCTGGCATTGGTGGTTTCTAAGGACATGTGTCTGAGATGGCCCATGTACACATGACTCTGCCGCATCGCAGGAGGATGGATTAGATGACCTCTCAAAGTCTCTTCCAGCACTACATTTCTATGATTATAGTTTACAGAAATTGATCATTTTCTAAAATATTAGTTGCCATTTCCCTTCATATATACAATTGGACTAAAGAAAAACTGGTAATACAAGTAAAGGAATACAAAAAGTAGTTGAGAATAATTTTTTAAAACTCCAACATTTGTAAACGTTTCTGTAAAATAGAAATACATGATTGAGTGGCATGGCTTTGATATCACCAGTGGTAAAGTAATACATTTATTTAAAACTCAGACTAATAAAACTTACACATTTCTATACAATGTCTCCGGCGTGTCAGATCACAGAAGTAACAAAGAAAATCCAGCATCTTATTTATCCATTTGCATTTCTTGCCAGGTATATTAACTTTGCAAGGTCAGATTCAGTGAAATCTTTCATGGCCATGCAATCCATAGAACAAGGGATTCTTCTGGACTTATGCATGTTTCTGTGGCACTAAATCAGGGAGTGTCTAGTTCATTCAACCTCACATTAGATTTCTTAGTCAGAAATATTGCCTCACTCACTTTTGCAAATAACTCCTGTTGCTGCCTTAGAAGTTCTTCTTCAGGAATGCCAAGATTTTCCAAACGAGAACTGGCCTTTCTTCTTTTTAGTGCTACTGTTTTGCACTCTTGTAAGACTTCTTTTACCTCACTGATATAGGAGCCAAAACCCAAGCTTTCTAGTGCTGGAAAAAAGAAAACATGTTGATCAATTAGCATAACTAAATTTTATAGTCACATCAAAACAATTTCCTGTAATAAGACACCAACTTGTTCTGTCCTATAGATTCCTTATTTAAAGCGACCCACAACCATTTTTTTTTTTATTTGCATCTTTTTACTCTTCTGTAGTGCATGAAGGCCTAAGCAAGAGATTTTCAAACTGAGGGGCACAGAGGAACATTTGGGGGGCAAGCGGTGTCCCCAAGCGGCTGGGACTTGGGGAGGGAGCACTACCTCCAGCCCCCTGACTCACATCAACAAGCCATCCAGCCTGTGGGTCAGTGTCAACATCCACTGATGCTGTGCTGATTTCTGCTCCTGGCAGCCTCTGTGCCCAGTGCTGGCTCCACCCCCAGAGACTGTCACACGTGCCTTCCCACACCCTGAAAACCTGAGGGGCAGGTATTGTGTCTATATTTCTCTGGGTTGGGGCAGCACAACCAAAAATTATAACTCGGGGGGGGGGGGGTGAAAAGGGGAAGGGGCTCAGCTCCAAAAGTTTGAAAACCATGGCTTAAGTCATATTCCCCTACTCCCTTCCTGCACCAAAAGTGCAGTCTTAAATCTTCAAACCTTGAGACTATCAAGTGTGCTCTTCTCTGGTTTTGCTGGTACTTTTAAATTTCTTAGCTATATTTCATAAAGGTGAGGGAACTAGTCAGAGAAAAACAGCAAGACAAGGAGACAGTTTAATTTCTTAGTTATAAATTTAAAATAATTTCATATAAACCAGACAAATGAATGGAACCGGTGCCATATTTCCCATTTTGCTTAAGAACAGATATATGGTAACATGTACCATACACACCACATCTGCCCAAAGTCCCATCCTTCTCCCATTTAAGCATAATGGACCAACCAGAAAAGTACATTTTCTTAACAGGCTGAAGTTAGCACCGATATGCAACAACTTGGCCATTTCAGGAAAGAAAGGATTGCTAATTTAAGACCCCACCCCCAATGTAAATAATAGTGTGTTGCATACCTAGTTGCAATTCAGTAACTGTCCTCCAACCCTCCCTAAAACGCTAAGACACTATTCCATCTTGTAGCATAGCTGGGACCTAATCATGGTTTTAATAGTCTCCACAAAATATACAACAGGTTGGATAGACAGCATCAGGGAACAACTGTTGTAACCAGGTTCCTAAAAGTTGTTTTACTGTAGATAGGATCCAACTCTTGTCCACATTGAGCTTTGAACCATGCTTTAAAGTAGTTTGAACTACTGGAAAAAGGGGTTCTGGATACACTGGTTTCAAACATTATTCAGCTAGCCACTGAAAATAGGATGAAAGCTACAGAAATATTTTGAAGAACTTGCCTCTGTACTACAGAGAGCATCTGCCTTTAGATTGCTAAATTGGTCTGCAGCCATGGGCTCCTTAAGGACTCTTCAATGCTATTAGATGCCCAAACAGCAGCAGTAACAACCATCTATTACTAGCCAGAAAATTAAACCCCATTTTAGCAGACAGAGACCTGTCACAGTGATTGATTCATTAGGGACCTCTATGCTTGATTATTGCACCGCATATCTAGGAATGAAGTCAAACCCAGAAAAAGCTCCCTGTGGTATAAAACACATCTGCTTAACAGAGGCCCTCCCCGTTATCACCTCCACCCTAGCATTCTGCTCTCAGACTCTATTCTGGATCCTAGTCTGTTTTAGATTTATCCCATTGAGGGTTTTGAGTACCAAGATACCTGAGAGATTGCCTCTCAGCTCCATGAGCATCTACAACAGCAACATTCCAGTGAACAAAGAAACAGATGACAAATGAACAGTGGGCTTGCAAGTGAGAGAGATAGACCAGCTGCTGGGAAAGATCTTATATTTGATGAGAAGAATGACTATGGACCTCTCCACTTTCAAAAGTCAGTGTAAAACTAATTTCTTCAATTTACTGGGGGAAAGCTTAGTTCTTCACATACACAAAAGGTCTCCGATTAATTAAACTAGGAAGATAGATTATCTGTTTTTAATATACTTTGGAAGCATTACAAAACTACTGTGATGGTTGCCACATAAGTACCTGGATAAATAGCCCCTGACTTGAATTTGATTTTTAAAAAAATAAGAGGAAAAGGTTTGGTCCTTTCTTCACCAGACAAAAAGTGTTTGAAAACTAATTTTAAGCAACAGTTAACTTAATAAGACAAACAAGTACATTTCTTTATTAGTAAAATCTTTGATTATTAAAAATGAAAATTGTAAAAATAGAATTTACTTGGGACAATTCATGCTCTAGTTATTTTGTACATTTTGCAAATCTTAGACAATGAAAATCCATAAAGTCAGTCTTCCTTTTGTTTATTGTCAGTTTCACTTTTAAGCTGGCAAATTTAGTTGACTGCATCTTTTATCTAAATTTAATTTTTTAATAAAGTTTATATTCTGTTTTCAAAATTGGTTTTAAAGCCTATTGTAGAAAAGGCCAACTGACATACCAGTATTTTACTTTATCACTGACAAATATTTTCTGATGAAGTTAATGGCACAGCCTTCAACAGCTTTGTTATTACTATTTGCACATGTAGATATCAGCGCTCTGATCTATTTGGTTTACTTTAAATGCTACAGGTTTAA